TGATCCACCCACCTCGGCCTCCTAAAGTGTTGGGATTACAGGCATGAGCCACCGTGCCCAGCTCCCCCCTTTTTTTTCTTAATAGGATACCAAAGATATTTTGACTAGCCTTTCTGATTATTAAAACATTCTTCTTTGAATGCCTTTAAAATACCACAGATATTCTTTTCCAGGGCATCTTGGATGGTGGTAGATCATCATCAGTAAGCATTTAATAGATGGTTACTGTGTGTATTAGCTGTGCTAATAAAAATATCAACTCTAGAATTTACAAAATTGGGTGAAATATGGTCTGCTTAAAATAAATAGGCAATCATAAATGCATTAGAAATATATACCCACATTGGCCGGGCATGGTGGCTCACACCTGTAAATCCCAGAACTTTGGGAGGCCGAGATGGGTGGATCATCTGAGGTCAGGAGTTGGAGACCTGTCTGGCTAACATGGCAAAACTCCGCCTCTACTAAAAATACAAAAATTAGCCGAGTACAGTGGCGCTTGCCTATAGTCCCAGCTACTTAGGAGGCTGAGGCAGGAGAATCGCTTACACCTGGGAAGCAGAGGTTGCAGTGAGCTGAGATCACGCTGCTGCACTCTAGTCTGTGTAGTGGAATGAGACTCCATCTCAAAAAAGAAGAAAAGAGAAAAAAAAAATGTATATATATATACCTACATCAACTGTTAATATCTCTTTTAGCTATCTTAATATGCCAAAAATTATTTCTCTGGAAATCAGCGGCCTATGTCAATAAGACCAAAACAGGGAAGACAAGGAGACAATGCTGGCTTGGGATTTACAGGGCAAAAATCCCTATTTGACTAGATGAGAAGAAATAATAGAAAAAGAAAGGATTAGGGCTGTGGAAGTCAGGGCCTTTTCCTCCTGCCCTGTACACTTTGTCTCACTCCTTGAGTCAGACTAGAATTCTTAGGGGTGCAGCCACAGTCCTGTGCCTGTGGACTTTGCATTAAACAAGTGAATAGATTGAGAACTTAGTGACAGGACATTTTAATGATTATGTCCCACAGTGATATTTATTTTCAGTGTTCTATTTGCAGAGGCCCCTATCAGATTTCCTTACTGAGAATTAATTACTCACGTGCCCAAACTTAATCAAATTTTCCTCATCACTTTATGCAGACAGCCATTAAGAGTAGCTCCACACTTCACTAAAGGAGTTACTCCTCCCTTGTTATAATACCTAAATTCAGCTGAGGCATGAAACAAACAGATTGGTGTATAATGCTTAACTGTTCCTTTGAGGAAAAAGTGATCTTTTCTGTTTGTATATTCTATTTATATTAACTTTTGTCAAAAGTGCCTTTTGAAGTTTATTTCCATAAAGTCACAGAGTCTAATCCCTTGATCTAAACCATATTAAAGACTTTGATGCCAGCCTGTGCTTTGAACAAATATTTCAAATAGATAACATTAACTTAAATAATCCTGCTGCCTGACATACTCTCAGATAAAATATTGATTTAAATGCTAATATAGATGTACAGAGTTCTACTTTCTCTTTCCTTATAAGCGGAAATGGATGAACATTTAGCCTTTCCTAGACAGTGGGATTTGGGCTAATAAAAAAATTAGCCCTTGTGCAGTGGGACTGTAGCAGGGTTTGAAAGTCATGTTTAACTTCGTTGGGGAGTCATGCTATTAGATCAGTGACTTGCCCAAAATCAACTCAATACATGACAATAGATTTATGAGTGTACTGTGTTTAAAATCCTTAGTGACTAATATACTAAATAAATACTGAAATGTAATCATGATAATAAAAAGTAGAATTTGAAAGGCCTTAACCATTTACAAAATACTGACAGATACATGATTTCATTTGATCTAAAAAATTCAGAGGCTGGGTGCCGTGGTTCATGTCTGTAATCTCAGGACTTTGGGAGGCTGATGTGAATGGATCATTTGAGCCCAGGAGTTCAAGACAAGCCTGGCAACATGGTAAAACCATTTCTACAAAAAATTAGCGCAGTGTGGTGGTATGAATCTGTAGTCTTAGCTACTTGGGAGGCTGATCACTGCATTCCAACCTGGACAACACAGTGAGACCCTGGCTCAAAAAAAACAAAAGAATTATGTGAACTACAGCAAGTATTAGTATCTCTTATTATCTAGGGCCACTCTATTTATAAAATTCTAATAGCTAGACTTGAACTCGTCTTCATTTTTTTTTTTTGAGGTGGTGTCTCACTATTTTGCCCAGGCTGCAGTACATTGATGCAGTCTCTGCTCATTGCAACATCCCTCTCCCGGATTCAAGCAGTTCTTCTGCCTCAGCCTCCCAAGTATCTGATACATGCCAACAGGCCAGCTAAGTGTTTGTATTGCTGACCTCAGCTGATTCATCCACCTCAGTCTCCCAAAATACTGGGATTACAGGGATTATGGCCTGTTTCAGGATATAATGAAGAAACACATTATCTGTATGTACAAATATTAACTACATTATAAGGATTCTGATGGTTTCTTAGTAAAACTTCAGCGGTATAACATAATTCCTGTGATTGCTCAGTTCTGTTGGTCTAATATTGTAAGTAGTTTTGGTGGGTTTTGGTCAGATCTTTCTGACCAGATCTGCCACATTTTGTCTCCACTCTGGGTTTGCAGATGTTGCTGTTTAATTAGATTGCTCTGTAGAGGATGACAGAACCAGGAGGTTCATTAGCATAGCTGATAAGTGGCTGGGTTTTGAAGCAAGAGATAATGCTTCTTTGGGTCGTGGGAAGGTGAGGTATTAGTCTTTTTTATTAGACATTATCTGTAAACAGTGAACTTCTCCACCTCTAGGCACTCCCTATATATGAATATTGTATTCTGAACCTTACTCTGTACTCTAGCAAGATAATAAGTATAATGCACATATAAGTCAATCTTTCATTTACTTAAAAGAATAATCCTGTAGTAAAGAAAGAAATGACAACTACTCTGATTCTTGAATACTGGGCAAAGACAAGCCATCCGTAATGGCATAGTCCTTCAATATGACGTAAGCTTTCTCATTCAATGAATGTTTTCCCCTAGTAACTCTTCGGGCTGGCAAACCATGAACGAAAGCGTGTGGACTTGGCAGCCCAACCCTGAATTTTTTGTCTCAAAAATTATTGCAATTTCTGCACCAGAGCTCCAAATGACATTTGTCTGGACAAAGACTTTTCTAAAACTAAAAAGAATGACCTTATTTCACTTAGTGAAATGAGATGTACTCTTAAATAGAATCCATTTTGAATAGTTTGTCTTAGGGCAACACTGTCAAAAAAGATATATTTCATATTCTTCCCATTATCAGAGGAAAATATACTCTTAAAATAGCTTCAGGGCCAGGCATGGTTGCCCACACCTATAATTCCAGCACTTTGGGAGGCCAAGACAGAAGAGTCGCTTGAGACCAGGAGGTTGAGACCCATATGGGCAACATAATGAGACACTATCTCTACAAAAAGTAAAATGTATGGTGGTGCTTGCCTGTAGTCCTAGCAACTCAGAAGTTTGAGGCAGGAGGATCACTTAAGCCCAGGAATTCAAGGCTGCAGTGAGTTATGATGACACCATTATACCCCAGCCTCGGCAATAGAATGAGACCGTTTTGAAAAACAAAAGAAACAAAAACCGTTTCAGTAAGACTTGCGACTTGCTTGGGTCTCATAGTACCGTTTAAAAACTCCTAGTCCTAAGTGGTGATTTGGCACAAGATTAGGCATATTTTTTTCTTTTCCTTTTGAAGTGAAAAACAGAGATCACATATGATTGAATATAGTACTATGGTTTTTACTGATACTTAATAAACAATACCCACCTTCTTTTCCTCTTGTGCTTTCATCCCTAGGAAACCTATGCTTTTCAAGGTTAACCAAGTTTTTAATTGACAAAGCATGTAATCAGCAACTTACACATGCCTGATGTGTTTGTTTAGCTAATGGTTATATAGTTTTCAGGATATCTCAGGCACTGTTAAATTATTTAATCCTCCTAACAACTCTTAAGGTAGGTGTTCTTATTATACCCATTTTAATGGGATATAGAGAGGTTAAGCACTTAGTCTGACATCTCTTAGGTAAAAAGTAGGGGGCTGAGACTTGAACCAAGAAAGTTTGGCCCGAGTCCTTACACTTAACCTCTCTTGTATACTGCTTTTCTTTGGGTGAATACCAGCGTTAGATAAGCTTGCACAGGAAGACCCCTTTCCTCAGACTTGTTTCCCCACTCATCACAGCAGCAGAGTATTTTGTGACTTAGACCCCCTGTCACGCCAGTCTCTGTCCTAACCTTGTTCCAGTTAGGCTAATGTTGAACAAGTGATGAAAGGATTGGTTGAACTGACGCTGAGATTGTCTCTGTTGAAAGTGTCTCCAAACACTTGCATCATTCCTCTTCCTCCTCATCTATTTCTTTTCATTCCTCCAACTTTCCTTATAGGGTCTCCCCAATGAAATTAAGAAAATGTTGAGGATAATTGAAACTTAATATGAAATTAATGTCATAGCTGGGAAAGAAATCCTCATTCAGCCACCAAAGTTAGAGAATGAACCATAGGAGAGATTGTTCTTTACAACCAAGCTGGAATTCTGAATGTATTTTTCAAAGGAAACATTTTTATATGTAATAGTTTTTATTACTTACTTGTTTTCAGAATAGTAAAGGTTTACACTTTCCTTATTTGTTGACTCATTCAATCATTTACTCAGGAACCTTTTAAAGAACACCATGTGCAAGATACTATACCAGGCACCAGGGATACAAATCACCACCAAGGTTAAGTCCATGGCTTCACTTAGCCATTATTAATATCATTGAATCGGTAAGAAAATACTCATTAATTTCTAAGTACCTAAGTTACTAAAGAACTTTGGAAATAAACCTTTTGTGTAACTTAGGGACTTAACCTCAAACTCTTGGGCTCAAGCGAGCCTGAGATGACAGGGGCATACCACCATGCCCAGCTAATTTTTTTGAAATGTTTTTGTAGAGACAGGGTCTTCCTGTGTTGCTCAGGTAAGTCTTAAACTCCTGGCCTCAAGCAGTCATCCTGCCTCAGCTTCTCAAAGTGCTGGAACAAAATACTGACTTTTAGAAATCAGTGTGTGCTTTTCATAATGAGAATCTACTTTTTAAGATACTGTAGGCCAGGTGCAGTGGCTCACATCTGTAATCCCAGCACTTTGGGAGGCCAAGGCAGGTGGATCACCTGAGGTCAGGAGTTTGAGACCAGCCTTGCCAACATGGTGAAACCCTGTCTCTACTAAAAATACAAAATTAGCTGGGCATGGTGGTGCATGCCTGTAGTCACAGCTACTTGGGAGGCTGAGGCAGGAGAATCATTTGAACCCGGGAGGCAGAGGTTGCAGTGAGCCGAGACTGTGCCATTGCCCTCCAGTCTGGGCAACAAGAGTGAAACTCCATCTCGGGGAAAAAAAAAGATACAATAACTTGCCAGTAACCAACAGTGTTTTAGGTAAACCCAAAAGATTGTTAAACCCAGATTAGACTTATGTACCCAGCAAGTGTACCCCCTATTAATTGAGATCAGTGAATAACATTAGTAGTCATATCCTGTAATTTTGACCCCCCCCCCAACACTTCTCAAAATTATATCTGTTCAGTGCAGATGTTTAGGAAGTTAGTCACCAGTTTTGAAAGAGGCATACCAAAATATATTATGTTTTTCTTTCATCTATGAATAGTTAGCCTTATTTAATTTGGTAGGGGAACTTTATCATTTAATGCTGTATTCTGGTATAGACTTGAAATGGCTAAATATACTTAAGTTTTAAGAAGGCTTTAACTAAATGTGATTAGGTGTGTAGTTTTGCAAAGCCTAGAGATGTCAAAAGAATATCTGCAGAGTGTTTAGGAAGGTTTAGAGTCTCTGTGATAGGAAGACTGGAAATGTCATTTATTCAGTGGTGCACTTACAGTCAACCCTCTCTATCCGCAGGCCATTTCACTTGTCTTCAGGATATCCTTGCCTGGGAAACAAAATGTGAGCAAGCAGTGACCCTTTTAGGAGCCTAGGATTTCTTAGGGGGGTTTATTAATTACTTTTATCAATATTTGTCTTTAACTATTGAAGCCTTAAAATGAAGAGTCTTTAGAAACTTGCACATAGCAGTGAAAGTGAACTGATGGTGAGTTCAGGAAGGAAAAAGAAGAGGCAAACAGTAAAGACAGATGGATGCCCACAAATATGAACCGAATAACTCATCTGTTCCCTCTTTAACCTTTGCACTTGAAACCTCTGATTTCTGATCCCACCAAAAGTCTAGTGAAAAATGCCCCTCGGTGTCCCACTGGCATTTTTCTCAAGCCCCATCCTTTTTGACCTCTGGGTAGCATTTTCTCTTGTGACCTCCTGCGCCCTCTTGAGCCTCTTTCTTGCTTTGTGACAGTCTTCTAATTCTCAGATTACTGCTCTGATGATTCCTTTTTTGCTGGCGTCATCTGGGTCTTTTTCTTGTCCTAAATGCAAGTATTCCCTGAGGTTCTGCCCTTTGTCCTTCTCTTTCCTCCTCTACTGTCTCCCTTGGTGATCTCATCTACTTTCATGATGTCACCTCATTTGTATATAGAATAGTCTCACATCTCTAGCTTCAACAATCCAGACCTCTCCCCAGGGCTTTAGTCCCACATTTCCAAAGGCCTGTCAGGTAGCTTCATTAGTACCTCAGTATGTCCAGAACCACGCATCATCTGTCAGCCTTCTTCTATTTCTCTCCTGGGCATCTGTTCTTGAATGACATCAGCATTCTCCAAGTCACCTTTGACTCTTCCCACTCAGTGATCCCCACAACAGTTAGTTGCTTGGACCTGTTGATTTATATCCTAAACATCAGTTGGCTCTGTCGCTAAATTCCCATTGCTACAAAGTTCACTGCTACCGTACTAATCTCTCCGGAGAGCAATTCTTGTCTTCAGTTCTGTACTTAAAACTTTCAAGGATGTAAAGTGTTAGAAAGGAAGAAAGGGAGGGAGGAAGAAGAGAAAAAGGAAGGGAAAAGAAAAGAAGCCTCCTCAGCTGGGTAGCCAAGTCCCTAACCTTCTTTCCTTTTTTCTTTAATCCGCCAAGCAGAAGCAACATACCCACTGCCACTAGCTAAATGTTCTCTTTCTTCTAAATGTATCTGTATCTCTTTTTCACCTGCATTCCAGTTATTAGTGTTCATATTTTATCTCTAGTATTAGAGATCATGGATTCTCATCTTGTTCACCCTGGTACCCTCACCTTGCCCAGTGCTACTATCCTTTAATACGTGGTAGGTACACACTGAAGCATTTTTTTTTAACATTGAGTAATGAAGTTTGAACAACTCCTGCCCACAGTTAGAGTTGCTTTGCCCAGCATAAAAGCTTTAAGGAAGAGTTCCCTGTTGTATTCATGTTTGTTTGACTTCCCTTCTATTTTGTGTGTTTCAAATAATTCATTCCATTATCAAGAATCTCATTTCTAGGTCTGGTTTAGAGAAGAGGTTCTTGAGGCTGGGCATGGTAGTTCACGCCTGTAATCCCAGCACTTTGGGAGGCCAAGGGAGGTGGATGACTTGAGGTCAGGAGTTTGATACCAGCCTGGCCAACATGGTGAAACTCTGTCTCTATTAAAAATATAAAAATTAGCCAGGCGCTCATTAGCCAGCTACTCAGGAGGCTGAAGCAGGAAAATGGCTTGAACTCAGGAGATGGAGATTGCAGTGAGCTGAGATCATGCGACTGCACTACACCCTCAGTGACAGAGTGAGACTGTTTATTTAAAAGGAAAAGAAAAAATAGAGAAGAGGTTCTTGGAAGGCTTCATTTCTGAGGTCAGTCATCACTGTAATCTTAGCTTCTGGTAACTGATTGTTCTGGGGTACCTCACTGTATTCCATAACCACTTGGGTTTCTGCTGTGTGTAAAGCAGAGACAGAAGGCAACTTACTGTCCTCTTGAGTATTTCTAGTAATTCATAGCCAAGCCATCCATGGCAGAAAGTTCCCTCAGCAGAACAGATGCAGCCATTCCAGAGATGGAATCTGCCCTCAGTAATAGCCTGATCAATCTTAGTGGATAATTCCCTTATGAATAGAAATGATTCTTTATGGCCAATATAATGTAGGAGTTGGATAATAAAAATTTCAAAATCCGTTTGAAGGTTAGGGTATGCTGTTAGGGAAGAGTAGCCTCTGTGTTCTGTCTAACATACTCAGGTTCCAAAAGATGCGCTATAGATCTACAGTGTTTACTCCTGGGCAGAATTCTTATTTGATTTTCTGTCTCCTTTCTTAATTTTATAAACAGAGTTGGACAGCCAAACAGGGAACTTAAAAGCAATAAATATTACCTTCTCCCCTTAACCCTGGGTCCAGGAACAAACTCTTAGCAGCCTGTACTCTTGGCATTTCCTCTTAGTACCTAGAAGTACGTAGCAGTCCCAAAGCCCCCAGGAAAGCAATGCCTCAAAAAACTCCATAAAAGTAGTTTTTTTTTTTTTTAAACAGAGTCTGAGTCTGTCACTTAGGCAAGAGTACGGTGGCACAATCACAGCTCACTGCAGCCTTGACTTTCCAGGCTCAAGTAATCCTCCTACCTCAGCCAGCCGAGTAGCTGGGACTACAGGTGTATGCCACCATGCCTAGCTAATTTTTTGTATTTGTAGAGGCAGAGTCTCTCCTTGTTACCCATGCTGGTCTCAGACTCCTGGGATGAAGCATGGCCTCCTGCCATGGCCTCCCAAAGTGCTTGGATTATAGGCATGAGACACCACACCCGGCCAGATTTTATTTTAAAAATGTACAGAAAGACAAATATCTTTTGCATCTTTAAGATTTCTTTGTCACTCCTGCAAAGGTTCCCCCCAGCCAAGTTTAGTGATAGATGCATTGAGCAAGTCTTATTCCCTTTCTGACTTATTATCAGTCATATGTGCTACTGTGACCCATCCCTTAGAAAGCTGGGTAAAGAAGAGATAGTGTGAGCTGAGGCAGTACATTAGTGATTTGTTCATTCATTATTTATTTCCTTATTTTTATTCGTTCAACATTTATTATTTACTACTTGCTAGAAACTGAGATTTGATGATGGGACAGACATGGTTCCTGTCCTCAGGAAGCTAATTTTTAATAGAGGAGCTCTACAAGTTTAATGCTATGATTTTCTTTCTTTCTTTCTTTCT